AACCACTGTTCAAACGATTCACCAATTTCCTCGTGGTAATCTCCAGTTTTCTTAGACTCAAAGCACCACAGACCGTCAACAACAAATCCATCCTCACTGACAATATGGCAGATAATGAGCCTTTTCCCTTTACCTGGAAATCAAAGTACTAACTGGTGTAGATTTATTTCAATAAGCGAACCTTTTTCAAATGTTTTCATCACATTCAGCGAAAAAACATTGAGACATGAGTATCAGATTGCTATAATTGGGATTATTTAGTCATATTGAAAGAAAGAATATTGAACGTCGTATGATTACTCAGCGCTTCACAATTTAATTTAAAGTTATAAACCTTTAAAAAATTAATGATCAGGAAGCTGAAATACGCGCAAATATTAATATTAACAAATTATAACTTTATAAAGCTTAAAGTATGAATTAAAATGATTAGAAATATTAGGAACGGTACACAATATAAAACTTAGTAACTTTTTTTAAGTTTATAATATTCGACATATTTTAAGATTATATTAAAAAATTATTGAAATATCGAAAACACATAAAAACATGGCTTAAAAAAGTTCTAACAAATGAAAATGACAATAAAACATCCACGCATTTTATCGAAAGTTATAAAAGTTTTGTTACTTGTAATATGTTTTATCTGCCCCCTGGAATTAATGTTTAGAACCTTGTTCCCAAGGTTTGAAAAACATCCGATTGTTGTCTATTACTCGTATTTACCTGCTGGATTTTTTAATCCGGTGGACGGTCCATCTAGAAAGGCCCTCCTGGATGAAGTTACAGAATCATCAACCCATACTTTACTTGTAGTGTGTCCTGCGTTTACCCACGTTTCATCAAGGTAATAAATCTTCCTGTTTTGATTTCTATATTTCCCAATTTTTGTTAAATAATCCCTCCTCCATAGCACAATTTCTTCTCTATCCAGTAGTAAACTATTACGACCCCGTTTTTTCCATTTGAAATTTAAATGCTTCAGTAACGCATGGAAAGTTGATCGTTTGAAATTTGGCAACGTTGTATCTCCATTTACCTCCTGCAGTACTTTATCTATAGTAGGTATTTCATTCCTAAAGAAGAATTCATGCACTTTCCTGCTAATCGCATGCTTATCAGCTTCATCCAATGATTTAACAATACTTTTGCGATGTTTACTGGTCATTGGCTCAGAAAAGGTGTGATTTTTTTTGTATTGTCTTAACACATTAAACACTGATGCGCGACACACCCCAACTTTGTGAGAAACCTTCACAACAATTTCTTTGATGGTTGATGCCTCGTTCTCCTCGCGCTCGATCTTATATATATTCAAAATGACCTCCTTCATTTCTGCACTCAGGTGTCTTTTTTTAGAGCGTTTCCTAGGTGGACTACAGGAGTTTACAACTTCATCGGCAGTATCTGTACTACTGGGCATTTTGCGCAAGCAGTTGATAACAATAACAATCAATAACAAGGTATAACAATAACAACGACAAACTCAACAACTTAATAAGATAACAAACGAAAACGTCCAAGGAAATATCAAATTGCAATGATGCACACAACATACGTAACACGTCTGAACCTGAATGTGACTCTGCCTTGATACGACTGCTCTGCCGCTCGGCTAGGCATTTAATTGCGAATTGACCAATGAGGGCTCCTGTTTTACGTCGAGACGGCGGCGTTAGCGTGAAAATCACCCGAACCTTTTGTTTACATCCGGTCTATCTCTTATCTGAATATACTGTATTTTATTGATTATTTTACAGATTATACATTTATGCTACATAGTTTTTATATGCTTCTATTTAACAAATTATACATCTAAAAATTTTATTCGAATTTAGTCGTGTATATTTTTCTTTTGCTTATGTAATTGTGACCTTTTCCTGTTAAAGTTTCATATCCGCAAAGCACTTTTAATAAAAGTTATTGTTTATATTACTATTATTATTAGTATTATCATTATTATAACCTTTTTTGAGTTATAGGGCGGAGAGCGCGCAGCGCTTAGTGACTTACAGCATAAGGTTTGTTTATACAGTGGTCGGTAACTTGTCGATGAGTGTGTCCGGCATCTGGTCGTGTGAATTCTGTCTATATAACGTAGCAGAAAGAAGGGCACGGGTATTACGTATCTTGAAAAGTGACAATATGTCGATTTTTTTGACATTGTATGAGTTTTTAGTGACACTATGTAAGTGTTTCTACAAGCTGTTAACTTAGCACTAGCTCATGGACACTTGTGAACTCGGTTTATTCTACGGGTCGCCTAAATGTACATGATGCTTTAGTTATCAATGTTTGACTCTGATTGATGTAAAATCTGCTTCAGAGATGGCATTACTAAGCTGTAAGATGTATACTATAGCTAGAAGGAAACAGCAATGCATAGGTGCATCGTGAGGATTTGTGTGCTAATAATATGTGTTGATTATAAGTCCATTAGATACTTGTCTCAAATACACTTACTTGAGATTCAAAGCTAGAAACTAGTTGCGCATCCACCTTTTCTTATTCATCCTGGAAATTATATAACACAAATTTGCTGAATTTCAATAATAAGATAGATAAGAACAAAATCCTTTCTTGGTGAAGGAACAGGTGAGAAAATATGCTACAGACAGGAATATTTATGAACGAAAGAAGGTTATTACATTACTGTTTATTTCCAGTCATTCAAATCTTATAAAAATTTATTTTGCGATGCCAACAAAAAATACAAATCAGCGCCAAGATGTGAGGTATTGCGAAAATGTTTGATGTGTGATGCGTCATTAGTAATTATTCTGCTATGTGACTTAATTGCGCGGTGGCGGTTTCTCGTAGTGCACCTCAAAATTTTTTAAAACACAAAAAACCTACCTTCAGAAACACAACAGATAAATAACCCATCGGGCTCAGCTAATAGACAAACTTCATTGGCAGTATATTCAGTAATAATTTTCTAGCACAGCAAATATCACTGATTTTATACACATGCAGACCAATACACATAATCATTCAGATGCGATCGTGCTATTCAGTCAATTTTCTTTGTTTCACATCTTCTCAGAGATGAAAACTACAGGCTACTTCGTTTCACAAAACGTGTAATGACTGTTTATACTCTAAAAACTACCTAGTGTGCAAGATGACATTTTATAGTTTTTTTTTTGACGTTTTATAGGTTCTTTTCATAATATCTGTGCCAAGTTTGTGTGACGGCATCTTGGACACGATCACTGACTTGATGGAGACAGCTGTACGGACAGGGCTATAATGCAAGGATAACCGTAAGTCTAGATAAATAATACGCCATATTAATTTGATAAATCATTAAGAAAATATATAGCAATACAGTTTTTATTCATTACTGCCTTATTCATATGTGTTATAGAGATTGTAGCTATAGCTTTGCAAGAAATCAAGAAACTACAGGGTGATTCTGATACGCTTACTGCTTAAAGCTGAACAAAATTCGCAGAACCCAAACGAAGAATTGTGCCAACAAAAAAGTTGTTGTTCTTATACATATAGGTACATATATCTACCATGAAAATCTCAGATTTTTTGCAAAGCTATACCTACCCTAGATATGTGCTTCTACAGAACCTCTGCTATACATATGAGTCTGTTCGTAGCTTATTTCTTCGTTTTGATTCTGCGACTTTTTTCGATTTTGGGTAGTCAATCCTCATGGCGTGTTATTTATCAGGACTGACATTTTGACCTTGCATTATGCTGTTAATCTCTATCTCAAAAACTATTAATTGTATAAAAAATGTTGAAACAAAAGTTGTAGAAAACTTTATTTTCAGCAATATTCATGATAAATGCAATTAGCATTAAGCCCATCGGAAGTGACATCTTTGCGAAAAGCAATTTTTGTGATATTTGACCTTTGATATCTTAAGACGCGGACACAAGATTTTATGTGACTTTTGAGACAACTTTTAGAATGGCAAAATAAAAGGTTCTGTTTTATAGCTTATATAGTTGGACTACTACTGCATTTGCGTAGGTTTGAAAAAATGTATTCTCTCCCTTTCATTTTAGTTTTCATGGAGGTGTTAAAATATCTCATCATATAAAACTTAGACCGTTGAAGCGTTACCTGGAAGTTAAGGAAAATTCAGAATCTATGTGTTCACATATTCTAGGACGTCTAGTGTGTGCACTTCACACAAGCCACAACAGAATTTTGCAACGGGTACCAACGAATTTTAATAGATTACGAGCAATGTCAACATGGTAGAATCTGTCGCCAAAGTTACGTAGATTAGGTGCATAATTTTTCGTATATTTGCCTACCAAGTTGTAGCAAGTTCTCGAGGATGCTGCCACACCATCGATTTTCGGCCAGAAAGAATGTGACTATCTGCTTGTCAAACTTTCAAAAATATGAATTTTAATCATTAGGACGTACTACAAAGAATATAGAAAGTCAATTAAAGTCCTGAAAGACATTTCTTAACAGAATCTCGTTGTGCTAAAATGAGAAAACGTGAAATGACTATAACGCGAAAGTAAAGACCTTTTTTAAGATATTTTAGATATATACTCAAAGTAGATGAGACTCATAGTTGAAGATTTGGTTGGTACTCTCCAGTATCTTGTTTCCTGCGCGGTTGTGAATTTCAGAAACGTCCAAATTTCTGTTACCAGAGCTAATTACTACGCATAAAAAATAGTGCATTCAGAAACTCGAATTATAATATCTATTTGACTCTATTGTTTGTGTCGCTAGTTTTATGAACGCGATCATACTTGCAGCTTTTGATGAAAAAATACAATTATTTATTTAAAACGCAGAAATCAAGCATTGTCGAACAATCAGCAAATTCACGACAATGACTGTAAAATGTGACTATCAAGGTCTATAATAAGCAGCGTATCGAATCTTTTTGTGTAAAATTCTCACCTCATTGGTTTATTTGCAATTTTCCATGTGTTACATATAGCTCATCCTTTGTTTTTAGTACTATATAAAAATAGAGAATTTTATCGTCGTACATTTCTAACTGCGTTGTTACTGCGAGTAAAACTTCAATAAAAAAATGCTTCGCTACGTTTTGGTTGCATTTTGTTTGCTGAAGCTTACAGATGGCAGACCCAGTGCTATGCTAGGAGGGATACAAAGTAAGTACGTAAACATTCAAAGTAGTTTCAGTATCGTGATGCTAATATGTTTCTAAATATTCAGTAAGAATACCAAATGATATTCAATCATGATCATGTCACTGCATCTACGTTATAAAAGCTAAAAGCCACCGACTTCCCTGTCAAGCATCACACTCATAACATAGAATCCAAGAACTATTTGAACTATTTTGTACTTTACAATTCAAGATACAGGGTGAACACAATTTCCGAAACTAATAATCTCTATCAGCATTTCGCATGGGAACCTATCCAAACTCACTACCTCTAGCTATAAAGTAAGGCTGTGTTCTTCTCCATACATATCGTCGGATTCTTTTAAATGTATCAAGGCAGTTTTTTATTACTATACCTACTTACTGTAAGGTGTTAACCTTAGATGCCCTCAAAGAGAACAAACAATGGGGTCCCAGTCCTGACACAGAATAGGCAGTGAGGTCTTTCCTCAACCTATCTATCGATTCTATATGTCCGTGCCAGATACAAGCAGCCACAATGAAGTTGTGTAATGTAGCATAGTATCAGACGGGCCTGCTGTATTTGAAAGAGTTTGGCGACTTGAATATAAGCTAACTGCCTCCACTAGAACAACGTTGCAAAGATTACAGTTCAGCACCTCTTTACTGAATCCTTAAACAAGATGTAGAATATTTCAGTTTTATCCACGCTTCAAACGGATCCAACTATAAACATTATTCTTTATCAATTGAAGGAGGTTCTTTTTCGTATCAAATGTAGAGACAAATGCGTGAAGGTTCTGATGTTCCAGAAGTGTTACATCAGCTGCGTTTTCAATTTCGAAAAAATTATCAGTATCTCTAAAGGTCACAACAATCTATTTGGTTAAGACAGAGATAACTCTTTTAGAATTACGTATTCTTGCCCGGTTTGCGGTGTACAACAGTCGTTCTGAGTGAAGATTGTGAAATATTCTGAAAGAGAAAAAGATAAACTGAAATCATTACTTGGTGATTGTGAAACATATAAAAAATAGTTTTCTCACATAAAAAAGCGTAAGTCACATCTGTAACGGCAATAAGATTATGAATTAAAAATTTATTAATTCGCCTAACTTACTCGTTCAGAGGCAGCATCAGAACTGCGATCAGTTGGACATTGGTCATCGCAAGAAAAACAAATTTGGATGTAGATACCTATTCCACGAGTACGTGCAGATGGTGATGAGACTTTTTATTCAAATGTTTATTAGTCCTTCAAGTGATTGCCTCATTATTAAAACCATGGATGAATAGTTTGGTTGTATTGTTTGTAAAGCTTTAATAAAGCTTTACCAAGTTGGCATCCGCATAGATTTGGAAGTGATCATTTCTCATTTTCTGTTTTGTCACGAAATCGCCTGTTTAACTGTTTCTACGGTAAAAATAGTTGTATTGAAAATTAAACTACGGAAAACATACAATTTATGTATTTGGCGTACAAGCGTGGCAAAATTTACTATAATAGGACCATACGGGAAATCATTCGTTTGTTCAAGAATTTAGTGAATCACTGCTTCTATACGTATGTAGTGCTTTTCAAAAAGGTCCCTCTCCATTTTTAAACACGTCAGGTTAGCCAGCTGAAATTCAGGAGGATGGAAGTGATGCACGACTACTAGTATTTCAACGTAGATTTCAATAGTTGAAAATTGCAACATTGTGGCTGGGCACCATTTTGGAACATTCTTTCTATAGTATAGACTTACTATCTTCCAAAATTGCAAAATGTTGAGCGCTGTTGTACATTGAATCGCTTATAGCTGAACAACTAATCATCAAAGCATTATAGTATGTATGTGTAATCCATTTCAAATACTCGCACTTTGCTTAAATTATGCGTTATTTATAATATATTTTGTTTTTTAGATCAACATATTGATGTACTTCATTCCTAGGTATGTTTGCTATTCACTGGTTGACCCACGTTTGAGCTTTCACTTGAACTGATAAATATAATCAACTCACCTAATGTGCAACGAAATATCAGGAATTAAATTAAAAAATTATCATATTTTACCAAACTTTTCGACGACTTTTGATATGACAGACCATAGCGTCTTCATGTGTGTTGTTGGGTTATGAATATCACAAATACAAAAACGCTCAAATTTGAGAACTTGTCAATCTACCATTTTGAAGAATATGGTTCTTATTTCCTAGCTTATAAGTTGTCTCCCAGTTCTTCCGTTTTTTGGCATTAGTATATTTATAGCTTGTGGTTCCGGTAACCATATGCATCTATTGGACGCATCTCACACAGATATGGGCGTACATTTGACGAACGCAACGGAGACAGATGTTAAAGCTGTCGCGACTTTCCCGCTGCCGAGGTTAGCATTTAAATTGTGATCAAACGTTTATTGGAAGGTCAGAAGATGTGGTACAAGAGCTCTTTCTAGATCGCAATGTTGTCAAATAGCTTTAGTCTTCCGATCCCAAATTCTCCTTACTAACCAGTAACAACCCTGCAGGTCTAACCAGAACCACAGAAATAATGAACGCTCCAGGCATAGTAACCTCCCCAGTAGTCTCCGTAGTATCAAGGCCAGTCGCAGCTATCCCAATCGTTCAACGAAGTGTTTCTACTCTTGCAGGCGTACCATCGGTGGGCATGCATGGTCAAGGGATGCTAGGCACAGGGACAGTCGTTGAAAAGACTTCAGTGGCAGAACGCACTCCGCTGGGAGGGGTGCAAGTGTCCAGAACCTCCGTCAGACCGTCCGGGATCATGGGGATTGAGAGCCTCGAGTCGCCGGGGTTAGTTGGGGAAGTAGAGTATATACAGACTGAGCACTTGGGATAAGTTGATGGATATTATTGTTATGTAGTCGGACAAGGAATTTGGAAACAACATCCTTGCATACGTGGAATATTGAAAGAAATTCGCAAAAGAGAAAAATCCAGCACGACTTTAATCTCAATTTCTTGCTTTTAAAGGTGTGCTTTTTAAATAGGCCTCCCCTATTTATTTTTCAAATGGATCAAGCTATAAAACTGCAATTCGGGAACAAGAAATTGATACACCAATAATATATTTTATCGTAAAAGTGGCAGTTAAAAATTTTAAAACGGAGATGGGCGTCATCTTGGAACATGTTTCAAATCGACTTGGGATCATGCATTTTCTTGTTCTAAAGCTCCGTCTGCGTTCATTTTAACCTTATAAAAATCGCTGTCTTCAAAAATGGTGAACTGACAGGCTGTCAAACGAAAGTTTTTGTACATTGAATCGCCTGTAACTCAACAAGCAGTCATCAAAACGTTATGGCATGTCAACCCTCTTATCTTGACAATTTCTATCCAAATATGTAACTAACTATGGAACAACTGATCCTACTTTTTAATTTTAACGTCTCATACTTTGATGAATATCTCGTTGTTGAGTTACCAGCAATTCAATGTACAAAACGCTTGACTTTGACAGCCCGCCAGTCCGCTATTTTGAAAAATAGTTAATGCAAACTTAAAGAGCTTCAAAATGAGGCTTTTCATTCCATTTCAAAATGTTCAAAAAAGGCATCCAGGCGCCATTCTAAAATTTTCAACTGTCACCTTTAGGTTAAGGTACCTATTATTTAAGCTTTAACTTCATTTTCTTCACTTGGCCCTTTCAAAAAATAAGCCAGGAGGGAGACCCTTTCAGAAGCACTGTACAGCGGTACTTAGCACAGAGGGGTTATTGCTGCTAACCTAAAACCGCGAAAACGACATCTAAAGATTGTCTCAGAATGACTAGAAATCATTATTATATTATTTACAAACTTCACAATTACTTTAGTCATATAGAGAATATTGGATTTAATGAAAGCAGACACGATAATAATTTGTAATTCAAATATGTATATATTATATATGTATACTAAAGCAAAAGAGTGACAGGTGTTACGTGGCTAAACACATGTTACTAAGCGATTAAGTCGTATCTACTGTAGCTTCTTCTATTTATATACTAAAGCGAGATGGTGGCTACTGTTATATTATTAAGGCAAAAAAATATGCTAATACCAAAATTGCAGATGCTCTCATTGCGCTTAGCACGAAAGCCGCAGGTACATGTGCCGGGCACATGCCGCTCAACATGTGCCTAGAGCTAGTTTAAATGGAAACAAACCTGGCACGACACATTTGCCGCAACATGTTGCAAACTGTCAGAAAATACTGCAATTTGTTGCATTCGAAGCATGTCTTAGTACGGTTTTCCTTGACATATTTGTAAAGCAAGTAAAAAACTTAAGACTTCCCATTCACATATACATTCAGTTAGATAGTTAACATCCACTAAGATGACCACAACCTTCTCGGATTTGAGATGATCGTTATACCAATGAACGCATTCAGGGACCTACAGCGCTTGGAACGTTGAAAGTCAGTGACTATATTTGATGTAAATAGCCGCTGACGTGAAACACTAAGTAGCTTCAGTCTTTTGAACGTACATGGAAAGAACGGCGGTTTGTCTTTACAACGTGTTCCATAAATAAGATGCCAAAACCATAGTGGTTGTTTCCTAAAATATTCTCAATATTTTGTTTTCTTTGTCGTTCTCAAAGTTCCACACCAGTAGACGACGGACATAAATGTTCGGTTTGACCAATTTTTTTGTCTATACATCTGAATAGTCAATCACACTTTTGTAAGAATTGCATGGACAGATTAGCTAACATTTGATTCCTTAGTCCGACTACATAGTTGACACGCTGATGAAAATAGTGAATACACCTGCCATGGTATTGATATAGTACTACTAATTGGAAAATAGAATATACATACAAAAGCAGTTCACACATTTTCGTTTCTAGGCCGCTGGAACAGTTTTCTAATTTCCTTAAAAAAATACGCCGAAAGATTAATAGAGGAAAAGCTGTACTGAAGAATATTCTAGACAGAATATAGTTTTGATTGGCTAACTGATTCGGCATGTTTAACATAACTAGACGTATGTGAAAAATTGGCAAGCATTTCATTGATTGTACTTTATATGATGTAAATATATTAGGCATTATGAACATATCTGTTTCTTACTATACCCCCGGCCCAGCACAATTTAGCTGAACTAATTATTATATACTATATTTGCAACACCAAAGTATACAATGCTTAGCCACAGAGGGTGCCAGTCTTGATCTTTTCGTCAAACTCTCTGCTGGTTTCTTTAGAATTTATTGAAATTAGGAAAACTAAAGTAATTGAGAAGAAGGTGTCAATAAAGCCCAAATTCCCAAGGAGGAATTGTTAACCAATTCAAATCTGAAAATTTTGGTTTCAAAAAAGGATTTTTCTCAATTTATTTATTTGAATTTGAAACACGGTTATAAAGATTTTTTCAAAAAAAAATTGAAATCCCTGCTTTTTGAAAACGAAGGTTAACTAACCCTTGAACTTTGGCCAGATGCTTTACTAACACCATCTGTGAAAATTAAAGTTTGGTGGCAGTTTTATTTATAATTTCACCGCTTTTCTCAGAAACCTTCAGAAATATACGATCAATTAGTGTTAACACGATATCGTTGTTATAATAAATACTTTCATCATGTAAACACCATGAAAACGTATTATCTCCGAACATCTCCGAATGAAAGTATTCATGATTACAGTACCCGTTTCTGCGAGAGAAGACAGGAAGTAACATTCTTGTGATATCGAACTGTATAACCGCACACTAATTTTAGAAAAGCTAGAAAAATTATATTAAGCAATAAGAAGAAAAAGTGAAACAATCGGACTTCTACCAAAAATATATTCCTTCAGAATAATTTACATTCAAGTTGAGATGGATCAGTTCCTCTACCAAGCTTCTACGATGGGGGCTGCGGCAGCATATCCCCATGGGGCAGCGACATGGGCATCTAAGACATGAGCAGCGTAAGGAGCAGCATGGGCAGTCACAATGGGGGCAGCGTGGGCGGTCACAACAGGGGCGGCGGCATAGTGAGCGTGGTGTGCTACGACGGGAGCAGAGTAAGCAGCTACCACCTGGAAGATGAATTTAACTGTAACATGAGCTTATCAAAATGGCAGGGCGGCCTTTAAGCCACAGCCTAGCAGTCGCATAGTCTGCATTATAGCTTGAATTGTCGACATTTTTTTAAACTCGCAGTTACGATTTGGGTATCTTGATTTTCCAATGAACATTCACTGAAAATGAACCAAAGAATAGAAACCATCTTGCGAATGGTGTTTTCATTTTAATTTCTTTAGTAACTCAGCTTTAAAAGGGCTTTCAAACTAATCGATAATAATTGGATTAGCTGATACCTTACTACCTCATATATTTTCCATTAATGATTTTGGGATCATTCTTCGAAAAGATACCCTAATAACACACTAAATTAAGACATTGTTATATATCTCATTATCACTTACTACTATCTTCTTTGAGCTCGATAGTTTCAGAGTATACCTACCACAAACTTAAGTCTAATATTATAATAAGTGAAAATTTTTATTTTTGAGTATCTGATAACTATTTCGGAAATTAATGGTTTTGTATATACTTTGCTCTACACTATTATACTACAGCATCTAAACGCCGAATTTATTTATTCTACAAAAGAAGGTAAGTACACAAATTATAGGAATAACTAGTTTAACTGATCATAGGCATTGATAGCTTTCATCATCGACCATTGATGAAAGAAAAGGTATGGTGCTTAAGAACTGTTTTTGGAGACGGTTTTACAATATGGCGAAGTGATCTGGAAAGATCCGAAGTAAAATTCAGAGAGACCGCATCGAAATATGGATATACCTGTATTATTTGTCCAAAACTTAACAAAAAGGGGTATACATATTTTAAGAACCAAATGACTGAAATAATTCTTTCACAACCATTTTGAATAAGAGAGTTTCAAGATTCCATATTAAACTTCAAAAAAAGCTCCTCCCAGAGGATTTTTCTGACCAGAGACTAAACACTACCTACTACTAACCAGTGATGGGCGTTGACGCTTATACATTAATTGTCTACGTCTCGATGTATACAATGCGTATACAATGAATACAATGTATACATTGCGTATACAATCAATACAATGTATACAATGATAAAGACAATGTATAGAATAGTATAAGTAAGGTCAGGTTTATTCACAAACGTCAGAAAGTTGGTAAACAGTGAACCGACAACTACGGTTGGAAGCTCCAAGAACAAAGAGATCGATGTTCATTTGTTGTTTTTAATTTATTTAAAACTGTATCTTTGTATACTTATACATATAAATAAATATTATATATTTTTTCATTATTTATAAACTGCTTCTACAGTCAAACCATAATGCAATGTTGCAGAATTTGTATCTATCCTGAACTTTCAGTTCCACCTAAAATCGGAGAACCATTAGGATCGATCTGGAATTGATCCAAAACAGATTCGACAAAAATGTGTATTTGAGCATAGAAAACAAGGCGTTGTAGCAAGTTACAGTTATGTTCTGTGGCCTTCACACTGTTGTGCCAGGCAACATGGTGTGTGGCGCACTCTTTTTACACAAGTGGTGCCCGTTTGTCCCCCTCTCTCTCTTGCTTGTTCACATGGAAATCTAAAAGGGAAAGGGACTTCCGCCAGCACTATATGCAACTAGTTGAACTATGATTTTATTTTATTTTATTTTATTCATATATTTCTCAACAGATACAAGATCCAATTACAGAGAAACACTATACAAGTGTTGAAAAGCAAATAGAGACACATACAAAAAATAATATCATGGACTGATGATACTAAAAAAACCCTATGTGTGTGTATCAGAAATCCAACACGAAGCCCCATCAGTGCAGTAGTAACACATGCAAATTAATATATTTCTGAACGTTAATTCTACTCCTAAAATAGATAAAGATTTGCTATTGGATACATTTTATACATTGTATACGTGAATATCGACACATATGTATATATTCACCATTGTATACTCGTATAAAATGGTGTATTATACATGGTGTATACAATGCGCACATCACTGCTACTAAACCCAAAAAATCGCCATTATTTGCCGCAATGCCGTATTGAGAAGTAGCTCTTCTCTTTCTATGTAAATAATAAATGTAATTCAAAATCGTAGTTGGATACGAGTGAGAGAGATAGTGAGGATTGGTGTTAGGTGTAATTCGTTATACAGCTTTCCTCCTTGAATACTTCTACAATCAGGATCATATTGGAAAACCGCTTTTAAAGCATGGAGAAGAGTCAGCTAACATTATGACGTGACTCTCATTGAAAACGGTACATGGACTAGGCCAAACCGCCCGAATCTGATTATTTGAGCTTGCCAGTCTGATAGCAATCAACTGATATTTCATAATATTTGTGAGTAGGTAAGGTCATGAACGCTAATTTACGTTTGGGGTCAATACAACGCTAAAGTCACTCTAATGTAATCGAATATGGTTATAATAAAGAGTCAGAGTAAAAATTCTATACCTATCCTGCTTGAAAAGCCCATTATTAATCTCACATATTATATCCAACGCCGCTTTGCGCTTCAGGATATCAAAGTGCTCAGTACTGGATCAATAACGACTCACCTCTGAACCTAGATATGTAATGTGCTATTAAGGCCCGTATCGTCAGTCGTCCCTACAATTGTAGGGCGCCTTTATGGCCTCCTTGATTGTCATAGTTTTCTACTTCTCCGTGTCAGAACTCTATTTTGAGGTTATGTCACAAACATCTATTTGCATCAAATTGTGCTTGCTTTTGAGTTATATCATGTTTTATCAGCCTGAAATTTCCTACAATTTAAAAAGAAAACATATCTTTACTATAGGAGAGCGCTGACGCTGACACGGGACAAGTGTAATCTATAAATTTTTGAAGGAGAGAAAGGAGTATGACAATCAAGGAGGCCATAAACGCGCCCTACAATTGTACTGACGACTGACGATACGGGCCTTTGTGTCGGTCCAAGCATTTCAGTTTCCATGCCCCGAGTTAAGTTCAGACGGAGTTTTTTTGCATTCTTATCAGCGGCGTGGCTGCGGCCGTATCAGTACATACGTAAAAAATGAGTGTTTTTCACAGTCTCATGTAAGCTAAATTGAAAATTCTCAAGTGATAAGCCTTAAATTGTACGGCTAGGTATAATAGAATGCTTCCTACTATTATATCTCTAGATTATAACTGTATTAGCTGAAACAAGCTTTCCGAAATCAAAAGGTAATAAAATATTCTAGGACTTCTATGAGGTAACTTTGACTAGCAAGCAGAGCACTGTCTTCCGAGGATGAAAATTTCGAAACAAGATCATCTTTCGCTATGGATGGTTGAATAAATATTTATGAGGAAAAAATAGTGGCAGGTAGAATGATTCGACACTTCACTTATGCCTATTTTGAAATTTTCTATGAGCCAAGACAAGCTTTGATAAAGACACAAAATGTTTGAGCCCTATATTTTCTAATATGCCCTAACACTTAAAAATATTCAGATATTTGCAAAATATACACAAACAAACTTTGGGACAATCTGAAACATAGTTAAATTTTTACTCATAACATTGCCATCTAAACGATTTTCAAAAATGAAGTAGTATTACCTCCACATGGATTTATAAGTTGTCGATATCACAAAACAAAAAACATTTATCTGAAAAATTCCACAATTCCGCCCCGAAAGATTCTGCTACCCCTCGCTTTTCAAAAATTTCTGAGGGTAGGTACACTTTTAGATAAAGCTATCTCTTGCCGATGATCCTCCCCCTATGACTGAGGAAACTTCCTACCGCCGCGCATGGTCACTTCAGATGATTCATTGCAAGCCTTTATATTTCTTTTGTAAAAATATGTACTTCAAATTTTACCCTCCATTTGATACGATACCCCTGAGGAGCAAGCTACGCCACCGATTTTTATACAGACTTATCGTGTTATTTTACGATCTAAATTCTGTCACTTTCTTTAAATCGTGCTATATTTGAAGCTAGAAATATCGTTACGAACCGGTTCACTGATGACGTCACTCCTGTAGGTATGGCTGACGGCAGCAGGGGCAGCAACCACAGCAGGGGCGGTGTACGCCAGATGCGCGACGCCACTGGGCTTGGCACAGGCAATGGCCAGAAGGGCAGACAACACCACCAGCTTGAACATCTTGAAGTAGGTCTGTGTTGGTCTCGGTTCGAAGAGATGAACTGATGCCTTCCTGGTGTTTACAATGGTATTTATAGCCAATTTTTTGGTGCATGGACCTTGATGGGTATTTAAAAAATAGTGCATTCATCAGAAGACCGGTTACGGCTTAGAAGAATAGGAACGTGATCGTGACATTTATGAATTTGAGATTAGACGTGCGTTGGCGGGACCTGTGAGGCGGTCAATGCCTCAAGTTACATGATTTTTAAATTAGATCAACTTGTATGATTAGAACTGGCGGACCGCTACTCTCGACGGTAGTATGTTATTCATGTTGCACATGTTGTTCTACAAGGAAACAAAAATCAACAGTAGCTTAATAATTTATGCCCAGGAATTGTACACCAAAAGTGTGCGACACTAAAAATATTAGAAAAATTGCGAGACGCTGCCTCATCTCGAAGTTTTGGAAAGAAACATAATTATTTGGCCTTGTATTCTAAAATCAGTAAAATTAGTTCTCCGAAAAGTACTATATAGCATGTTTCTCACAAATCTTCGGTACCGGTGTTCCGCCAATTTCTGGTACAACAGCGCTTAAGATCCTGCAGGACATCTCAGAACTTGTGATAACTTAACTTTTGCCTCGACCCAGTCTTGATAGAAGTCGAGATAGAAAATCCATGTTGCATCTCCAGGTATTTTCGCAATGACACTCTTTGGACTTTCTGTTCTTCGTTGTGTCCTGTGGCTTCTCTGGAAATCTTCTTATAAGACCTATACAACGTACAACTTGAGTTCAGGAAGACCTTTTACGAAAGTATATTCGTTTTTTCTGTGACGGGAAAAAAGTTTGACATGTTTTCTCTGTTTACAGGTAAAAGGTGGCACTTTTTATGAGATTATCTTTTTCCCCGGGAAAAAATGAGTACTTTTTTCCCAAATATTGTATAAACACATAAGCAAAGGTAGATATCTAATTTAGCTGAACTATACTTTAGCGCATATCAAAAATATTTCATATCTTATTTTAAAATGAAAATATTTTATAGAACTTCGAAGTTGCATTTAGGGTCCTAATGCTGTGGTATAGAATACTCCTTTATAAGATGTTTTCTTCTTGTTTATACAAAAGATCTTTTAAAATTATATAATATAACATACACTGTAAGTTACTGTGATACTGTTCATCGCAATAATGCAATTTTGCATTATTTTAATGATGAAAATAGTTCATTGTTAAGTAGTCATTTCCTTTATTTCAGATAATTATTCCCATCACTACACCACCGTCACTGTCATATTGTCTTCATCTAGTTGCGATGTTGCCAAATCATGGATAGTAATATACTTTAATTTATTTGTCAAATTCTTACTCATATACTAGCTCAAAAATGTGCAATCGGCACAGGATTGTCATGAAAACGCGATTTGGAGGTGTTGTCAGCAGGTTTTACTGTACTAAATCCACCTTGTGCCCGACGATAGCGTTAGCTAGAGACTTTTTTTAAAAATGCATTATGCTCTTGACAAAAGTACTTCGGTTATTGTTTTTCCTATATTATAGTTATAATCTATTTACTTTTTGTATGTTGTACTTGAAGAATTATTTAAAGTGAAGCTGATGTTACAAAATGTACCTAATTAAATGTGATATATATGAGAAATAACTGAAAAAGTAGCTGTTGCAAATCACTAAAAAAATGAAAACATAACAAGGAACATTGCAGGTTTTTTGATGAAATGATGAAATGATCGTTTATCTTTATTGTAACTGTAATGCTGGACGAGGATATGTTGGGTGGACCTGGCGAAGTGGTCCAAATCGACGAATTGACGTTGGGTATTTTTATATGCAATGACCACTGGTGCCTTTTGTATTTTTTATGTCACGCGAGCCACTGGTCCATTTTCCACTATTTAGACACATACTGTTCAAAATTTCATCTAGTTTTCGGTATATATTGGGACAACTTTTCATAAAACAAGCCATTTACAATAAATTAAGACTTTTATTTTGCAAATAACCTCATTTCTAATTACGTATTTTTCCCAAAAAGGTACAACCTGGCAACAATGGACATAATTTATCTTATCTGTCAAGAAATGAGCGTTATAAAATGGCCATTGAGAATTGTTTGTACTTCTAAATATTTCTTATAAACGCAAAATCTTTGATCTCATTGAAGATACGCGAAAAAAATGGTTAAGGAATTTCAAGAAGACATTGAAAAATCACAACACCTCTACACAGTTTACCAAGTAAATACCATCATTTACGTATGTATTTTGATATGTTATTTAAGCTAATAAGCTTATGTGTAATAACACGTCAGGTTTTGAACCTTTTTTTACAGTTTCACATCTATTTTCCTTAGCAGCATATAAAACAGTATTTTATTCTAGAGCATTACCACCAAAAATGCAACTTCGAAGTTCTATAAAATAGCAAGCAGAGGGTTCCTGACAGAAAAAATGAAATTTTCGTAAAAGTTACATCCTAATATAATGAAGTATTTGCGATATGCGCTAAAGTATAGTCTTACCTTTAATTTTAAAATATTTTATTATACAATAAAGTTACATTTCCTTTATATCAAAGGTACAATTATTAAATGTGAATTGCATGAATGACACGTTGCTTAAACTATTCGGTACAACAGTTGAATTTTCTTGTGTTGAAATTATATGTTTTTCTGCCATCACAACCCCCGTTGATGAACTTGGTCCCAAATCCGTTGTTATTTCACCACTACCACACGTTCTAAACACTTTATCAGCTATTTTTGTTCTGTGTGCTACGAATTCATCAGCATACCCTTCAGCTACTCTTCATGACTTCCAACTTTAGTGTCATCAAGTCAAAAGTTAGCCACAAATATTTTTCTCAGTAACTTCAAATCTCCTGGTTACATCATTCTTTGTTTCCTTTTAACTTTCACAATTAGTAACGTTCCCGAATCTTTAATATCGTCTAATTTTACCTGGCTGATTTCACAAATTCGACAAGCTCCTGCAATCCCAAATACAACAATAACCTTGGCCATTAAATAAAATTCATCGGGAGCATTATTTAAAAAATCATTAATTTGTGTACTCTACTACTAAAAATTGCAGCTTTCTTTCTTTCCCATTTTGTTTCAGAAATGTAATTAGCTTGAAATATTTTGAAATGCCTACATTATTATTGGATCGTAACATACTTTTAATCATTGAATAATTCGACCACACTGTTGATGGCTTTTGTTGTTGTGCCATTTCCGAAAAATAAGCCAATAACGCCGTCTCCGACAAAGAACTGCATATTTTTTTTCATCTTCCATTCCATGAATCTTGAGTATGCTGTTTCGTAAATTGTCCGCGATTTATCTGGCAATAATTTTTGTGACGCTACTTTTGGCTACTTCTACTAATTCCCGTGGAGTCGAAGATAACACCAAATCAGACATTTTTTACTTTATAGTATTAAAAATAGCTTCTAAACCACTACTAAGTTCAAAATTTTTAAATCAAGTCACAAAATTAAATTGACAGCTATTTGATTACTTTAAAGTATTCGTAAGTACAACATAGTTTACCAATTTCAAAATTCAAATTTCAGTTCTCTGACTTAAATATTCTAATAGTATAATTTTTCAATATTAAATCGTCGTTTTTCTCGTCACAGAAAAAGGTTGTGTACTATACACAGGAAAAATACTGGATTTTTTTTAAATCTAGTACTGTTTTCCCTTGTATAGTAAATAACTATTATGGGTGATATTTCGTCCTCGCAGGGATGATCAAAAAGGCAATATGGCTCCCAGTCGAATTTATTAAAACATTTTGGCATGTGTTAGCGGATATGCAATTTCCTATGATCTAGTTGAATACTGGTAACGATGTTTTAAGTAAGAAGGTATATCTTGCGAAAAATATGGTCTTTTCGTTGTTAAGAAATATAATATTAATGTTTTTGGTCTAACAGAACAAATATTAACTATTTTAAACCTACTTAAAAACAGTGTCAACTAGCCCACTACCGGCATTGAGAATGCATTAATATACTAACATCAAAAAATTGCAATACACAATACCCAACCCATCTACAACCCCTCATCGCTCAACTTCTCAACCCTCAAATATTTTACTATTAATAAATAATAAAGATTCTCTGAAACATCAACAAGCGAAGTTTCAGCGTTTTTTTTTTTCGTTTTTGGCATTTTTCTCCACCGCGACTGGACCGATCTTTAAAATCTACAAAACATCTCGTTCTTGGCATAGTAGCAACGTTGTGTGACAATTTCGCTAAATCCGACCAGTACTTTCCAAGTTATAGGCGGTCCAATGATTAGGGGACAGACCGGCGAGCAAACAGACCGACAGACAGACAGACCGATCGACAGACCGACTAAAATAAGTGACATGGTATTATGTGGTGTACGAGTCATACAACATCCAAAAACATATCTCATTTTTGAAATTTTTCGTGATTACAGGGAAGTAAAAAAAGTTGGAACTGTCGAGTTATAACTCCATTCTCAAATGAAATTGTCATTTTGCTAGTGTCGTGATGAAAGCAGAACGAATTGGAGTATATTTCAGTACAAATATAACATAATCTAACGACGAATAAAATTTGTATTTTTGTTTTACATTATTTTGATCTGAATTAGATTTAATTTAGGTCTAACGGGTATTCGCACCCGAGTGATTAACAAAAGTGACACATAGAGTTAATAGAGTGATTTAAACCAACAATTGCATTAACTGCATTTATCCACAAATACATGCCTGAGGTACAAACCGCATAATTTCGTGAAAAATTACAGTTTCAATCACACAATTAGCAGAGACAAAGAAAAAGTATTCCGCAAGCATCGACCTTCACCCATCATTTTTACTTTTTTAACTTCTGTAATTAAAATTTCGTCAGACACGTGTTTTCCTTACAAAACAATCCGCGTTTGTTGAGTTTTAGACAATGTTAATAATATGCTTGGCATATTCGCAAGCATTCAACTAAGCAGCTTTTATTCATCAATGCCCTAAGCGATAAACTGAAGTTATATATTCAAATGAAACAGAAAAGGAAGATAGACAAACTCATGGATTGTGACATGACCTTTGAAATTCCCCTTCATGATACGGAAATATCCGAGGCGTTAACCACCAACACTTTGTTCGACAAGGCATTTTCTCGGATCCATTTGAACTGCATCTGAACCTTGAGCAGCCTTCGCTCTCTTCGCAAATACCGAGACAGTGGTTCTACAGGGTGTCCCAGAAGTCGACGTCAAGCCGAAACCGGGTGATAGGCAAAGTCATAACAGCTGTCAGAAAAATATTTAAAAAAATTTTATGTATGTGTTTTGAAAATTATAGGTCTTTGAAAAAGATATAGAAATTTCACACCCTACGGCAGTCTGTCAACTCCTGTTACTACAAATATTAACTTTTTTTGGATTTCATTTTTACAATGTAATGATGAATAATGCATCTTCAAACTGGTGTCTCAACCTTACTGCCAACAGTGGGCGTCAAAATGCTGCTGATGATGATTTACCTTTACAGCAAATGCTCAAACTGTTTTCCTTCAGCCGCAATACACGCTCGACATCTTCTTAAAAAAGATCGGGTTATTAAACGAGCGAATCCACGGTTATTAACAAACTCAGCTACTTCCAATACTCTGTGCCGTAGCTCAGCTACATTTTGAATCGGCTTGAAATACACTTTTTCTTTTACAGTTCCCCAGTAAAAAAAATCTAAAGGATTCAAATCAGGTGATCGGGCTGGCCACGGTATTGTACCAGACCGCCTTATCCATCTGCCTGGAAAGTTTTGATCGAGATACCCTCTCACTGAGAGTGCATAGTGCGCTGGGCAGCTATCATGCTGAAACCACATGTCCCTGTAAATACTCAGTGACACGTCCACCAATAAATTTTGTACATGATTTTTCAAAAAATCCAAATAAACTTCAGTCTCTGGGAACTCAAACGGACCGATTATTTTACCATTTAAAATTCCTGTCCAATGGTTTATCTTGAAGCGACATTGAGATTTATCTTCTCTCATCAAATGTGGGTTTGCTACGTGCCACTCGTGTAAGTTATGCAGGTTCATGTACCCATCTTTCTTAAATGTGGTCTCATCCGACCATAATTTTTTTTCAAAGAACTGTGTCTTTATAACATTGTGCGACAAAAAGCAACTCGGGGCTCATAATCCCGGGGCAGGAGAGGTTGAACACGCTGTATGTGGTATGGATGAAGCACATCACTTACTTGCTATTGCACACTTTGATACCGATCAGTACTCCTTCGTTTACTCCGCGTCTTTACATGTTCGTGCTTGTTGATTTTGTACTGTTACTAATTTTGGATTCGTGAACTGGACTGTTGATCGCTTGTGATTTGGATTTGGACTGTTTAATTGCCCTTCAAAACAACATTTGCTTTCCTTAGACTATCTTTGATAGTGTCATTGTGCAGTGCCGCTATGTCCGTGTACACCGTACGAGAATATGCTAACATGCACCTCATTTATGGGGAATGCAGATGCAACGCTGGTGCTGCAGCGAGACTTTACTGTGAGAGGTACCCGAATGCAGCTCGTCATCCAGATCATCGAGTGTTCACAAATGTGCGCCGCTTACTGTTCTCAGAGGGCCAACTACCAAACCAATCACACGGTGAGGGAAGATCTTTCCTTCCTTACGAAGACGTGGTGCTAGGAGCTGTCGAAGAAGACCCGAGTACTTCAGTGCGTGCAATAGAACTAAAAACAGGTGTGCCCAAAAGTACAGCCCATAGAATCTTGCAAAAAAACGTGCTCCATCCATACCAGTCCAAGCTCTTCTGCCCCGGGATTATGAGCCCCGAGTTGCTTTTTGTCGCACAATGTTAGAAAGATACAGGGAAGATCCACGGTTCTTTGAAAAAATTGTATGGTCAGATGAGACCACATTTAAGAAAGATGGGTACATGAACCTGCATAACTTACACGAGTGGCACGTAGCAAACCCACATTTGATCGCTGTTTAATTAGGAGATTTTGAAAAATTTTCATCAGTTTTTCTTCAAATAAAACTTGTGCATAAGTTAACGAATAATCTTCTAAGTGTTATACCATTTTGGAATCCTTATTAAATGCGCCAACTTTTAAGGTTACTTGCCAAACTCTCGTAGTACATTTTTTTCCAGTACAGCCAGTTAAAGTTGAGCAAAGTTTTACTTTGGAATACTTGGTTGGGAAATAAGTGGCAATTTTTCCTGAACGAGAAAAGTTGGCAGTAAGGTTGAGACACCAGTTTGAAGATGCATTATTCATCATTACATTGTAAAAATAAAATCCAAAAAAAGTTAATATTTGTAGTAACAGGAGTTGACAGACTGCCGTAGGGTGTGAAATTTCTATATTTTTTTCAAAGACCTATAATTTTCAAAACACATACATAATATTTTTTTAAATATTTTTCTGATAGCTGTTATGACTTTGCCTATCACCCGGTTTCGGCTTGACGTCGACTTCTGGGACACCCTGTATATCATTGTGCAAAGTGAAGCACGGGACCTATTTTTACAAGAATTTTGTGCCTGTCCTGATGTATACATTAAATTAAATGCCACCATGTCGAATCCAATATGGCGGATGCTACAATCTCGTGATTTATCATTTCCATAGTAACTCATATAATATGTGTGTCAAACATAAGGGACATCATTCTAAATCGAATATGATGGCCGTGGCAAAAATGTAGATTTATAATTTTCATAGTAACGCCTATGATATGGGCATCTGGAAAGGCTAGATGAGGGAAGCACAATAAGTAAAGTGGCGTCACTCTAAGTACGATAAGACGAGCATACAAATGACAGTGCAATATTATTATGACAGATCTGATGACGGGGTCGGAAGGTGGACATGGGAACTCTGTAATAAAATGACCCAAGCCTATCCAGTTGGGACTCGTTTAGTTCTCCTCAGTTGCAGACTAAGGGGGGGGCGGATGATGCGGTCTGTCCCAGGCCTCCAGCGTAAGGGGGCTCCCAGATGTTGCAAAATTACATTTCATTATTACTAAATAATGTATTTTTTAATTGCCATATAGAATACGGCAAAAAATGTTAAATTTCTTCATTTTTTGTGTACTACAATAGCTACGCTCTCCAAGAGATAATTTTATTTATATGAAATCGCTGTGTACGCATTTCGCCAGACCGTTTGAGCAAATCTGAATCGAACTTGCATCTACTTAGCAGCTTATACAATCCATCCATTAATGCATATAGGCAATCAACTGTGCATTGTTGAGCAAATGAATGTGTAATCGTCTTTGACGATCGTTGATTGGCGATTAGATCTTTGTGATCAGCTTTTGTTATGCTATTGTTTTAATTTAATAAAAGGAATATCGGCTGTGCGTCTTTTACCAACTTGATATGCTGAGTTTTTAGTTTTTATAGAAAAATCTTGATACAAATCTCTAATCTGATGCCATTTTCCTACCAATCGATCCTATTATTATTTTTACATTTCGCTACAACAGGGCAAACCCTGCAAATTTCAGATAGACTAACTTTGCCTAACTGGAAAAAAGATTGTATGCAATACTTTGTATAAAAGCTTCGTTCTGTTTTTTTTCGTTTACGTCAATGTAGATGGTTAAGCTTTGATTGCATATTTAAGAAGAATGGAAGGTTATAATAGTTTATCTTAAATTGGGCAAGCTTGGATAAAGTGGTCTAACAAAGCGGTTTCTTAGAAATAATTCAAGTTTCCGGTGCTTCTTAGAATCGCAGTACAAGTGTCGAAAACGGGAATTTTGGTGCAGCTGGTCTATGCGTATATGGTGAAAACGAACCTATAGTTGATATCACGCACGTTCCAGAAACATACTGGGCTCTAGGTACGAGAGGACTTTAGTAAATCGTTGCTCTGTATCACTGATACTACAGTACTTTTTGACAATTTCCGTTTCGGTAGCATCATACGAGAGGAGTTTTTCTAAGCTGAAGATTATGAAAAATTATCTTCGTTCTACAATGAACCGAGAACTGTTGGTTAACTTATCCATGTTATCAATTGAAAGCATGAAGGTACGAAAACATTTATAATAGTTCTGTCCTAAATAAACACAATGTATCTGATACTATTTGAATACATATATACAAATATTCGAGAACATGTATTTCTGTTTTGTTTACTTGTTCACCTTTGTTTTCAGGCATGTCATAATTAAAAATATTTCACTTATTCTCTTCGTTGTTACCACTTACTTATTATTATTAGGTATTTATTTTAAGTTAATTATAATAACTGTAAGAATAAGGGTGCACAAAAGATACGATTTTCTTCATTCATTTGTGTTGCTAATTCTTACGCATTATAGAATGATCAATACCTTAACAAATGGGGGCCTCGTTTAGATTTTCCAACTCGCCCTCAGATAGGGTTAGTTCGCCACTGTTCTTCTAGATAAGTACTTTGGTCTGAATTATTTGAAACTACTCAACAATAAAAACTATATAGAATTTCTGCTTTCTAACATTATTCCGTTTGAAATAAGAGGTTTATAAAGTATTACTAATACATAGGTAAATTTGATACTGACCTAGATATTTGACATCAAAGATACTAAAAGTCAAAAAATAAATAAAGCATGAAAACATTTTTATTCAACAAATAGAGCTAAAAGCTTAAAGACAATTTTATCCGAGTGGAAATATGCCGTTTTATACTTCTTAACATTATTGAATTAAATCGAAGTCTGTATGTCTCCAGTTTTCAAATGAAAGTGCTACATTATAACAAAAAGAGGAAAACAAGGTGTTAAATGCTTTCATTTGAAAGCTTGAGGCGCAGGAACTTCATTACCATTTAAATGTTAAGAAGTACTAAGCGCTATATTTCCAATGGGAAGAAATATTTTTAAATTCACAGTTCTTTCTTCTAAATTAATGCCTGTTTGAAAAAGGTATTTTCTTTTACTCATTTTTTATTGATTTGCTATATTTCGATCTTGTTATAGAAATACCTTATTACTTTTCATTATATTCAAATTTTTACAGTAGTCGTGGTACTCAATCCTTGCCTTCATAACTGCTTCAGTATGAATTTGTACTGGAAGGTTGCAATTTCGATCTGTTTACAAAAATAAAAAGATAGCAACCTTTTCGGAAAGGCTTGTTGTGAAACCCTGATTACTGTTTCTTACGAACGACTACAAAAACTTGGTTCCCCTCTGTATCGACTTGCACTAACAACACTAATAACATGTTCGTAGCAGTTTGACCTCAGTCTGGGTGCGAAGAACCTTCAAAGTCAGGTTTAACGTTAAATGCTAGAAAGCTGTATATTGGGTAATTTGAGACTGTCATTCACCATCACTCTGTAATTATCTCGACGAACTAGACTTGAATGCTCCGATCTCAACCAGACATGTGAATATCATTATAGTAAAGTCGTTACTCAGGATGTGTACTTTGTTGTTACTCTGTTCTCTAGGTCTCGTTTCGATTTTGGTCATCCAGCAGAGAAACAAGGGCGAGCAGAAAAGTTTTTCCGGGGCATAATTCTTTTAAATAATCAATCAGTACCACAGTAGATTATAAGCTGAACCACTGTCTGAAAATGGGTATAATTACACATGGGTGATATGAGCATCAGGCATAATCAAATAAAATCAACAATGAAACCACGGAGGACTCATATTCTTACTTGAGTGATCGCGAAGCCGGAAACCTAGGTACCGAGGTACTGCAATTGGTATAAATAGGTTGAATAAAGTGCCAGATTAATTACTGTTTTTGATACCTAAGGCAATGAATGTAAATAATACTGATACTATTTTTTGCAAATACCAGTCGTGTAATGTTTGACATTACCCAATTGGAATAAATAATGTTTGTGAACCTTGAAGTATTGCCAGATAAAATGTATTGCCAACTTTTCGAAACTATTGAGAAATACAACCTTATATACTGCCATATTATGACAGGTGCTCGGAAACGGTTGCTTAACTTTTTCGAATTTGTCCTTCAAGTGGCTTTAAGATTCCTTCCAAATGCTTCCTATATACAAGCTGATCTCCAATTTGGTCTCTACGACAGCTAAAGTTTGTATGATACGCGTCTGGATTTGTCTTTGAAGTAACCTTGAAATGACATTCAGTTGCCCTTATAGTGGCTAAATGACCTCTAATTCAAAATCGGTAAGCAGAAAAACCTAAACGCCATGCCGTTAGGATCAACTGCTCGACTTCTGTTGAAAATGACCTTGATACGACCTTGAATTAATCTTCAAATACCTCCATAGAAACAAACTTACCCCATATTTGGAATCAGCGACCCTAAAAACCTCATTGTAGTAAACATCTAAAAAATATCGCACAAAATATATTATTGCCATCTTTTTGATGTTCTAGACCAGTATGTGGCTTCTGCACTTTTTCTCCAGATATGAGGTCTCGAAAAGTAAAAGAATCACGCTCACTTTCTCTCAGTTTTTCTACTAACTCATTTAGATTATTAGCACAATTGACTCTTTCTTCGTACCCTCATTATCAAGTCATCGTTAATTGTCAGATCGTTCCAGTTGTGAGCTCTGGTAATCCAGAGACCAGGCAATGTTACAAAGAAAGAGAAGAAAAAGAGAGCAGGAAGGGAGACAGCAAAGAGAGAGAAAAAATATTTTAGGACACGGAGCGCTCAGGCATTGTCATAGTCACATGAGTTAATTTGATAAGGTCCAAAATATTTTATTTTTGTAAATGCCATAATAAAATGCTCTAATTTGGATTGTGCAAAACTCACGAATTTATAGTACGACTCGCGTTTCATTTGTGCTTGCGAACTTGCTGGCCTGTATCCAATGAGTCGCGGAACAGAGGGTTGGTATGCGATTCCGCTTGACTATAGCATCGCTACGCCTGTTGCTTAATGTAGTATCTTATCTAAGGTATATCGAGCTCTCAGTGGGGGGTTGTAGACACGTACCATGGGGCGTCAGTAATTGTACGCAGCATCCTGCTTTGCGGTTTGACAATAAAACACCAGGTCTTGTGACCACCTTAAAGAGCCTAATCTTGTTAGTCAAACTTAATTTTAACTCGGAAACCAGCCTTTAACGTTTCAATACGATTCCGCCAACTCATGCTTACTTTCAGAATGACGCAGAGATATTTGAGATAGATGGGCTTGCGTATTCTATTATGTCTTATCAAATAACAATTTGGGGTAATAGTCCCGCAGCCAATAGAATTTTTATCATACAAAATAGGATAATAAGACCAATGTTCAAAATGAAACCTAGAGAGTCATGTAGAAGTATATTTAAAGTCAACCGCTTATTAACATTACCGGGAATTTATATCTATAACACTCTACTATTTATCTTTAGCCATAAAGAAAAGTTTGGAAAAGACGTCTTCAACCATAGTTACAATACTCGCAAAAGTCAGAAATACTTCTACCCATCACATAAGCTAAATTCTAGCGAAAAATGTCCACATTACTCTGCACTGAAACTTTACAATGCTTTACCTCGACATCTTCAATCCATTTCAGCATTCACTATATTCAAAAAAAGCATTCATAAATATAAATGCGATATGGAACTATATAGTATTGAAGAGTTCTGTGCTCTAGTGAAACCGTAAGCATTAATATCGCTGTTGTTGTATGTTGTCTATGAATGTTTGTTTTGTATGTACTTTAGAAAAATTGTGCGTTATTTACACTGTATCACAATGACGTGTTATCTCTGTTATAAATTTCTTTGTTTTTTGTTTATAATTGAGAAACCAATAAATTTATATTCTATTCTATCCTATTCTATTCTATTTAGCGAAGCGTTCATTAGACACCGGTCCACCAACTCTAATACTTCCTCCATCGTACTTTGCAACCTGTCATGGACTAGCTCAACAGACCACGACTGGGCCCCCAATGCAATAGCGTAAGCATAGAGATAGGGACATTATGGACGTACAGTGAGTAACAGATTGGTCCGAACGCCGAACTCTGCCGGCTACTGGCTGTTTGTACCCTTTTTATATCACTGCTCATAATGAGTAGTTCGTGTTTATATACGATGTTATTGTCAGTCATAGATATCAGTCATATTGTGGTCATTCTTCAAATCACTTATTCGAACACAACTGACTGTGCTAATAAAAATACAAAGCCCCACACCCATGCACGTCAATCCATTTCCGTATATTAAGCTGATTTTTTCAATGTCAGGTAGTAGTTCAGAATATTGAATACGCACGCGGAGCAGATTAATGAGGCTGATATTTCATTTTGATGAGGAAATATAGGAAGATTGAAATCCCCGCCGATACCTGTAATGGAATTCTCGTGTACGGATTTCTTTGTTTTTCTACTGATAGCATCTGGAACATGCACTGTACGATTCAATGAATCTGAGGAATATGGTTCTTTATAAAGTACATAGTTGCACAAGTGCAATATTCATAATAACTCGTGGATAAACTTGAACAAGACCTTTGCTGAATATGAATTGAATCAGACTCTTCAAGTATTTGTTTTCAACATGCTTTTGAAAACTGCTACTACTAAATGTATACAGGGTAACTTTGAAATTGAGTCATTAATTTTCAGATAATGATTGTAGAAGGAAGATAAACCAAAATATGTGTGTAAAAATAAAAAAAAATTAAAAACAAAATGTTACCTTGGTTTATAAAGTATCCTCCCGACAAGTATTTCAGTGCGGACCTGTATTTGATCGTGCAGTCTTGGAGCACCGGCATGCCCTCCCCTGTGAGGTCTTAAGTCACCTGATTCACGAGCCCTTTGTACCACATTAACAAAGGCACGAGGGGTTGGTTGCACTCGATTGGGAAACCGATCCGCATAAATCCGTGATGCCGCGGCAGTATTTTGTAAATAAGAATCATGACCAAAAGTTCAGCATTTTCATAAACATGTGCCATTTTTATTTTGTTTGAGCCACGCAACAAACACCACTATTCACTCACGCGTTACCGACTGACACATTGACTGAATACAACTGAATAAAATTGTAGTAAAAACATCGTGATAAGCGTTTCAAGTTCATTCGCTTTTTTGTTTCCGATGCGATGAACCGATAAGGCGGATTATATCCGTTGCTGCCAAACACGAGCACATAATATTATTATTGAGACAGGGCGGTACACAAACTTCTAAAGGGCTATAACTTTGTTACTTTAATTTTACCACAAAAATGTTAAAGGAAAAAACATTTCTTTTGATCAGATCTACTCACTGTTAAAATAAATGACTCAACTTCGAAGTCACCCTGTATATATACGTATCATGGGTATACATCTCGTGAGTCAATACATTACGAGTACTTCCTCTCCAGCATAATACCGGGCATTTAACATTTATTAACAATGACCAATTCTATTATGATAGAGAGCATTTTGCGAAAATCTTATTATACACCAAAGCGAATATCATTGACTTTCTCGCGACTCCTTGTTCACTATACAGGGTGTTCCATA